ACGTGCCCTTTTTGTACAAGCTAATGTCGCTGTAAATACTAAATTAACATCAAAGGTGCCCTTTTTGTTTGGAAATTTCGATGTTTTAAAAAAAAATTTGGTCAAAAATATGCAATTTCGGTATAGTATAACATTAGGTTAAGACATACAGTACATACATGCAGTATAAGGAAATGAACCCCTTGATGTATTACGTGTGTTTTATCTGTCTTCTGTAAATTTGCTGACACGCATGCAATAATTTAACTTTCTTTTTAGCCCGAATTTTACTCTGTATGTCACACGAAGGCGCAATACGACGAAATCGGACCAAGTATTTGCCGTCATAATCCTGTGTTTGGTGTCATGAGTTAGAGAATGCAAGATGTAAATTCCACGTAATAATAATTCAAGTTAGATACTTTTCTATATGACAAAATCACTGTGAAATACATGCTAGACAGTTGTTCGTGCCATGTGATTGAAATTTGGTAATTAAAGACTATCTGGATAAATGCAGTACCGTACGGAAGTAATCTTACACCGCCGTTCGCTCGCGGTATAATGGTTAGATAGCGATTTGGTTCGATTTACCGCATATTATTCAATTAAATTCGGGTTTTGTTAGGTTATTTCTGAGCGGTACTGAATATCGTTTGAAGAAAGGCAGTTCTAATATAGAGAAAGGTTTTTGGTATGACATCGTACTAATTTTCAAGACTCGTGACAACCTCGTCCCCTAATTGCGAGGTTGGACTCGTGATTGAAAGTTCTATTAGATTAAATTTGACAGCATACAATTCCAAATTTATAACCTGGTTGGTTAAGTATTGCTGTGATCTATCCTAAACTTCAAACACTCATTAATAATTCATAAGCTTATTGGCAAATCATGTCAACCATAATATGTCACGTGCAGTGGCTTTAAACCTGATAAAACACTCCTAATTAGTATTCTTTATATAAAGAATACTAATAAGGCAGTATCTATTGTAGTCGTTTCCTCATTAGTATTCTTTATATAAAGAATACTAATAAGGCAGCAGCGCGAGTGGCTTTAGACCTAATAAAACACGACACGCGAGTTTTTTAAATGACTTCAAAAACGTATGCATAATAAGTCAAATCTTTATATAAAAATCTTTATATAAAAATCTTTATATAAAAACCTTTATATAAAAATCTTTATATAGTTTGCATAACAATGGTCTTTTGTTAAAGTGTTCTTTAGCTGGTATAAAGACGTATGCACGTGACTAATTTCTTACTCAAGATTGGATAATTGCTTCATGAATTATTAATGAGTTTTTGAAGCCGTTTAATAAACTCGCAGGTCGTGTTTTATTAGGTCTAAAGTCTTTAAACCTAATAAAACACTCCTGCTCGTTTATTAAACAGTACTTAAAACCTTACCCTAGTTGTAGCATGGAAAAGAAAAAGAAATATTGTCATCCAGTTTATTATAATTGTCACAACTGCCCTTCTTCTATTAATAAATAACGTATTGTCATAGAAATACTATCTATTCTTTGTGTACTACAGTGTGTACTACATTAGTAGCTTTTATGCACTTGTGGGTTTAGCAGAGTGCTGAGGCATTCAAATTCTAACAATATGTTATTTGAATAGTTTTGAGGTTTTTGGGACACCCTGTACAACTAAAATGTTTGGTAATTGTTATGGAAATATTTTTTCAACAAATAAAGCCATTTGTAACGATAAGACTTTGTTTAATTTGTATATCCGAACAGGAGTTATACCCAGTTTTGAATCCAAGGCCTTTCATGCATTTCCGTGCGCGGTTCCTTGCGTTTATGTACATGTTCGTTTCGTGACTGACAGTCCGTTTCGTTTTATGAACTTCCGTTTCGTTTTGTATGTGCTGTATTCGTGAACACACGGTTCGTTTCATTACCGTTCGTGTCGTAATTCGTAAACTTTCATTCGCTAAGGCCTAAGAGTTCGTTTCGTAAACCTGTTCGTTTCGTGAGCATTCGTTTCGTTTTGTCACGCGTTCGATTCAAGCTTGAACAGCACTTCGTCCACGGAAAAGACTGGAACGACCATGGTCACGTGATGTATTGGAGGTAGTTTCAATTTACAGAAAAATTTTATTCAGAAATGTTCTGATGTTTTTCCATTGCTTTAAATCATGAAAGTTGTTGCTTTAATAAGGTAAAACTCTTTCTGTAATCTTTGCTTTGTTGTTTTGTGGTGTTAAAACGTGTTTTGTCTTGTTTTTAGCGGTGGAAAGGACAGTTGCTATAATATGCTTCAATGTGTGGCACATGGCCATGAAGTTGTAGCTCTGGCCAACCTAAAACCACCGCAAAATACAGGTGTGTGAACGTAGAAATTATAAAATTACAGTATATTTTGATAATGGTGTGTTATAGTTGTTTAATATTCACGAATGAATTATATACTTTGTAGTTTAGCATATTCAGCACGTGTGTGCCACTGAGACGCATAAATTAGGCCTTTAATTAATTAAATGCCAGAATTCGAATTTTTACAACCCGAAATCCCAGCTGTAAGATTGCAGATTTTGCCATAGGTGCCATGTTGGTGATACTTCAACAAAAGAATCTTATATCTGTATCTTTCATTGAATTTGAAACCAACATGGCTGCAGAAAAGGAAATTAGATGCAGACGCACTTTTTTGAGGGGGCTTGTAACTCTCTTTTGGCCCAGGGTGCATTTTAAGTGCAATACGCCGAATATCTTTGGTGCGAGTTTGGCAAAATACAATGCTATATCTATAGTTAACATTGGCATATTTTCGGCTTAGAGTTTACATGGAATGCACCCCGGCTTTTGGCAGACTTGTTTGGCAATGGGGAGGGGTAGCAAAGGATCCTATATTACAAAGACGTAAGTTATATCTAAACCCACCTAGCCAGACATGAAAAGTCAAGCAATGGCATATTATGCCCTATGGCAAGATTGGAAGCGTTGAAAAAATATTGAATACTGCTATTGAAAAAGTGAAACGTTATATAATTGCAATATTATTCCAATAATATTGCAGTGTAATTCCAATAATATTGCAGTATAATTCCAATAATATCCACACTACAGGATACTGAGCTTTGGTTTTCAATACCTAACTATGAATGACTTGTATCCTGACTGGATATTAACAAAATTTCAAACATTTATAGGATACGGTAATGCTAAACATTGTCTCTGCTGATCTCCCAATAGCTTTGAATAGTATGAGTCTGCCTTGTTGAAAATGACCAGCCTTTGATTTCCAACTTGGTGGTCTAGTTGTTGACTGTTGAGTCTCCTGTTGTTATTGTAATTAATAACAATGATATGTATACTTATTTTGATGGTTCAGAGATGCTAAAATTTACGGTACCCATCATCCAGAAGTGGTATATTTGTGTTCTCAGATGGGATACTAGAGCTTTGAATCCTAGTACTGAAAAGAATTTTGTCTAAATAAGTTACTTGTCTCAGATTGATATAAAGGGTCGATTTAGTGTGTACCCATGCCATTAAAATACCCATTGACGTTTTTGCTATTTCGAATTTTTTCAAAATTCTAAATGAAGACCTCTTCTTAGATGAGATGGATAGCTACATGTACCAAACTGTTGGTCATGATGGCATAGAATTGTATTCCGAAGCCATGGGCTTGCCGTTGTTTCGACGTACGATTCAAGGAAATCCTGTTGAGCAAGGCAAAGAATACAGCGTCAATGAGAAAGATGAAGTTGAGGACCTGTATGAACTTTTGAAGGATGTTATGGTAGGTATTGTTGTGCTTCAGCAGATATAGTGGTCAACAGCATTCAAGATTTACAGTATCCTAGTATCCTGATGACACTAGTTTTGAATTTTGGGTACCAGATGTTGAAACCTTGGTATCCTATACCCAAAAGGTTCATGCCAAAGCCATGTTCATTTCAACATTTTTTATCAAGAAGGGGCGGACACCCCAACAGGGTTGCAAGGGGGAGGGAGTGCAATAGAATTGAATTTATTATACTTTGAAATGTTTGAGGCACTGTATTCAAAGTTCATTATGAGTCTTTGCTGTAATGAGTTATTCTTCTTACATCTCTAGGCAGAAGTTCATATAGAAGGAGTTTCGTCTGGTGCTATATTCTCTGATTATCAAAGAGTTCGAGTTGAGAATGTGTAAGTTTTTCTGTGAATGATATATGTTTTGGCCAGAAGTAATACTGTACTCCTTGACCTTATAGATAAGGCTATTATCCTGGGTTAATACATAAAATAGCTGTTGGCTTTATCTTGATTCAGGTGTTCACGGTTGGGTCTAACCTCTCTTGCGTATCTTTGGAAGAGAAATCAGAAAGAGCTTCTCAAAGAGATGATTGATTCTCATATTGATGCAATTATTATTAAAGTTGCCACAATGGGTTTGGAACCAACTAAACATCTTGGAAAGACTATATCAGAAATGTATCCTCACCTACTTAAAATTGTAAGTATTTCATATTAATTAACCCATTATGCTGTATTGTGAGCTAATGTGCCTTTCTCTGTCTAACACCACATTATTTTACTCTGTCTAACGCGAGATGATTTTACTTGTTAAGGGGAGAGCTCTGGTGCTCAATGGGTTAACCATTATATACTGTACCATTATACTGTAATGCGCACTTAGCTAGCACACATAGTGCCCTATGATGTCAAGGGGGAAAATGTTAGTTGTGGCTTTATGTTGGACATTTTCATTGCTTAAGAAGAGACTTGGGTTTTCAATAGACAATTCTAGCTATCGACTAATTTTTTATCAAGAAAGACGAAATATATCATTATAGCTCAAAAGAGCATCCTAAAATTAGTAAAATTGCAAAGTTTGGTTGCGAAATGTTGTAAAATACGGAAAATATAGCCCTGTGAAATCAGCAAATCAGTTTGAGTATTTTAGTGTTACGCGCGGTACTAGAATAACCATTTTGAGCCGAAAGTGGTTATTTTCACCGCGCGTAGTACTAAAATACTCAAAATTTGCTAATTTCACAGGGCTATATTTTTCGTACTTTACAACATTTCGCAACCAAACTTTGCAATTTTACTAATTTTAGGATGCTCTTTAATTTGATATAGCGATATACTTCGTCTTTCTTGTCTAGATAAAAAATAGTCGATAGCTGGAACTGTTTATTCAAGTAATTTTCATCCATTAATATTTCTTTGTAGAATGAGAAGTTTGACTGTAATATCTGTGGTGAGGGGGGAGAATATGAAACGTTCACATGTGACTGTCCATTGTTCAAGAAGAAAATCATCATGTAAGTACTGGTCTTACTGGTATTGTTTAGCTATTATCATTGGCCACACCCAATTTCTTCAGTGGGAATTAAAAATCTGAAAATTTGTAAATATTTTTCCGTTTATTTTGCAGTGATTCACAAGAGGTGATTATTCATTCTGATGATGCTTTTGCTCCCGTTGGTTATTTGAAGTTCAAACAGATGCACCTAGAAAATAAATCTGATCAGGTTTGTTTAATC